ACTTCCAATCCAGCACTCTCGAGGACATTCTGTTGATCAACGCTGCTGCGGTCAATACTGCTTGTCCCCATAATGTTTCTGGGACATTCATAGAGATCATCATGCTTCTAGCAACCTCTAAAAGATGTCTGTTCTTCCTTTCCGCTACCCCATTCTGTGCTGGTGTGTATGGACAGGTTGTCTGGTGATGATTCCTTGAGCTGACAAATATTCTTCAAGGGCTCTGTTGGTATACTCTGTCCCATTATCTGACCTCAATACTTTCACCACTGCTCCGTATTGAGTTTGAACAGTCCTATGAAAATTTTGGAAGCACCCAAACACATCACTCTTATTCTTCATCAGGTATAACCAAGTAACACGAGAGAAGCAATCAATAAATGTAACAAAATATTTGTATCCATTCATAGAACTTGTGGAACAAGGCCCCCAAACATCTGAATGTACCAAGTCAAATGCATGAGAACTTCTATGACCAGAACTAACATAAGAGCTTCTAGTAAGCTTTCCAAACTCACATGCATCACACACAAGTTTCTGTTTATTTGCTTTCTCAAATAAAGAAGGATACAATCTACCTAAAACACTAAAGGATGAGTGTCCCAAACGCTGGTGATGGAGCATTAACTCATTTTCAGCACTCATTTTAGATCCTACTCCTGCTTCCTCTATGACTGACACCAATGCTGAATCCAGCCCTTCACGATCCAGATACCACAGTCCACTACGCCATGTGCCAGTCCCAAGTCTCCGCCCTGTCCCCTTCTCCTGGAAGATTACCTTGGGAATATCAAAAGAGACGATGCATTTTAGTTGGAGGATGATAGAACTAATAGATAAAAGATTGACTGGAAAAGAAGGAGCATGCAAAACATTGGACAAAGTTACAGAACCAGTACAATCAACTGTACCCTTACCAACCACCGGCTGAAATGTACCATCAGCTGTTTGAATACTATCAGGCGATGCTAAGTGAGTATATGATGAGAACTCACTAGCATTACCTGTCACATGACAAGACGCACCGGAGTCGACTATCCATGCTGATGATCTGTCAGGAGACATAGAAGCAAGAGCATGTATGTCATCAGTACCTTTGTTCGGATGAGCATAGGTAGCAGTGTTGCCTCTGACGAAGAACGAAGTAGATGCCTCCGCAGTCCCATTCCTCAAATCTCCATCCCCTGCTACTTGCTGTTTTTTCCTGAGTATCGTGAGGAGAGCACGATCCTCCTCTGTAAAGACCACCTCAGCTTCTTCTTCTTCTGCTACCGTCAGATTCGCCCGATTCCCTGCTCCTCTTCCACCTCGTCGACCCCCACGGCCACGACCACGACCTCCGAACTGTCCACGTCCACCCGAATCTCCATCCTTGGATGGCTTGGTGCAAGCATGCCGTAGATGACCCACCGCACCGCAGTTATAGCACTGTCGAGTCTCTCTCCTAGATCCAGTGTTGCTAGAGGCTGTCAGTGCTGACTTCACCACAGGAAGTCCACCTGTCCCCGCCTGCAGCCGAATGCGAGTCTCCTCCTGGATCATAGCAGAGATAGCCTCCTCAAGCGTGGGAATCTTCGGCTGAGCTAGGAGCAATGCAATTCGCTGAGCGAACTCTGATGTCAATCCCTTGAGAAACACCATAGTCCTCTCCTGTAGAAAGGCCTCCCGCTCTTTACATCCCACTAATGGACAAAAGATTGACTGGAAAAGAAGGAGCATGCAAAACATTGGACAAAGTTACAGAACCAGTACAATCAACTGTACCCTTACCAACCACAGGCTGAAATGTACCATCAGCTGTTTGAATACTATCAGGCGATGCTAAGTGAGTATATGATGAGAACTCACTCGCATTACCTGTCACATGACGAGATGCACCGGAGTCGACTATCCATGCTGATGATCTGTCAGGAGACATAGAAGCAAGAGCATGTATGTCATCAGTACCTTTGGTCGGATGAGCATAGGTAGCAGTGTTGCCTCTGACGAAGAACGAAGTAGATGCCTCCGCAGTCCCATTCCTCAAATCTCCATCCCCTGCTACTTGCTGTTCTACTTGCTGCTTCTTCCTTAGTATCGCCAGGAGAGCACGATCCTCCTCAGTAAAGACCATCTCAGCTTCCTCTTCCTCTGCCACCGTCAGATTTGCCCGGTTTCCTGCTCCTCTTCCACCTCTTCGACCCCCACGGCCACGACCACGACCTCCGAACTGTCCACGTCCACCCGAATCTCCATCCTTGGATGGCTTGGTGCAAGCATGCCGTAGATGACCCACCGCACCGCAGTTATAGCACTGTCGAGTCTCTCTCCTAGATCCAGTGTTGCTAGAGGCTGTCAGTGCTGACTTCACCACAGGAAGTCCACCTGTCCCCGCCTGCAGCCGAATGCGAGTCTCCTCCTGGATCATAGCAGAGACAGCCTCCTCAAGCGTGGGAATCTTCGGCTGAGCTAGCAGCAATGCGATTCGCTGAGCGAACTCTGATGTCAATCCTTTAAGAAACATCATAGTCCTCTCTTGGAGAAAGGCCTCCCGCTCTTTACACCCCGGGTCCTTGCAGCTAGCCCGGGGAGAAAAATGATCATAATCCAGCCACAGACGCTCCAGCTCTGTAGCATATTCCTGTACAGTCCTCTCTCCCTGGACTGTGGCGTCGATCTCTCCTTTAATCTGAAATACCCTAAGGTTATTCCCCACTCCATCATATGTCCTCCTCAACTTCTCCCAGACGTCCTTCACCTTCTCAATGCCATCCACCGTGGCGGCGATCGTCGGGACCAACGAGTTGAGAAGCCAGATGTACACCAACATATAAGTGGACTTCCACTCATCTCTTCCCTCCGAGTTCTCCTCAGGTTCTGTCGCCTCTCCTGTCAAGTAACCCTCCAGGTTCCTCCCTGTAAGGGTGTATCTCACCCGTCGCGACCAGCTCAGGTAAGTACTGTAGGCGTATAAAATTGCCTATAGGTCCCGTTACACAGCTCGACGATGCCGATTCGACAGAACGAACCATCAGGCGACGTATCCAAACAAGATCGTTAATCCGCAACACCGAAGCCAAACGACACGCGACGAAGCGGGATAACAAGGCTACGAAGCCGATGAACCGCACGTAAACAATGGAATGGATCCACTCACGTGCGGAAGGGTGTGCAGCCGGCGGCTAGGAGAGAAGAGGGTGGAGGCTCTGATACCAAAATGTGAATAGAAACCCTAATTTTATTCATGAGATAAGATGGGCTTATATAGGCCCCTACAACTTACACATAAACCCCTAAACTTAATAATATTTCAACATGGTGAATGATGGCTCTGGTCCTCTCTTCACCCTCATGAATGCCTTTAGGGAGAAAGTTCTTCAAGTTTAACAACAGGAAATGCTCTGCTCCATTAATAACCATCTTTGGATGCATGCTCGCATCCTTTTTTGTATATTTTTTATATTTTTGTAAATATATAAAAGGGGAAGGATCTCCCCTATTTCTTGCTTAAAAAAAGTTTTATTTTCAAGAATAGATTCGAACTAGGTATTAGCTGTCTAGTGGTACTCTTTTGTGGGGTTGGAGAAAAATTAAAAAGTGGAACCTAAGTTTCATGCATATGGGTATGGATACCAGTGTGGTTACCGGTACGGAACACAACAAAATTTTCAAAGTTAGGGTATAGGGACATGGACAAAATATGTGGGTTGTAATCATGGTCCTGAGCTAGATATGCAAATGATCGTTCAAAATTGTGATTCTTAACCGAATATGGCCTGAAATGAACTCGAACCTTGTCCAAGAAGTTTAAAGAATAGATATGAAGTGTAGGGCATACGTTCAAGAAGTATATTATGAGTAGTGTAAATTAAAACATGTATTGTAAAATTCAGTATGCATTCAAATAAATGTATGTATATAATTAAGAAGTGTCTAAGAAGTATGGAGTACAAGTTGAGATGTCTCGGGTATGGGTACGAGGTATAGGATGTGCATGACAATGTAGATGGATAATTGGACGTCTATCTATATGTAAGCCAATTCAACAACAAAACGTTCTTATCGTTCAAAATAATCCGATCACGATTTAACCATTCGAAACACGAAGTATCCTATCAAAATCTGTTGCGCAAAATCCAGTGACAATAATTGTAGGAAATATTTTATTCTATAATATTGATTAAGAGTATAAATCCAACTCCAATAATCATACTTGATGAAACTGCTTCCTCATTATGTGGACGTTTCCTCAAACATCTTGTGCTTGTCAATTGGATGGATGTGGTTGTTCGTGCTACACATCAAAGCTGTCTTCGAGATGTGTACTTTGATGCATTTCACTTACTAGCACAAATCTCAAAGAAAAATCAAAGGATAAAAAAAGTTTGGGGGGGGGGGAAGGGGGGGGTTTAAAGCTCTTATCTTCAACTTAAGTTTGATCTATGCTTTATACGCGATACACGTTACACACAAAAGTATATACATAGGACATACACACACCATAAACCAAAGGTTCATACATTCATCTTACCTGTAGAAATTTTTTCCCTCACACACCCAATACCATCTCCAGGGAAGTAAGTGTAGTATTCATACCTTGAAATTAAGCATTAGTGTTGATTGTCCATCCAATCCTTTGGATTCTATTAACGTGTGACAAAACCTTATTGTGATCTCGTATATATAGAGGATATTCACGGGTAAACAGCTCCTCTATGGGGGCCATCATTCTTTGAAGAGGAGATTATATGCGTACTAAAGAACGATGCCACTGAAATTCTCGGGCAATCTTGCTAGCAGTTACTCGATGTTCAACCACTTTTAAACTTGTCATTAGAAATCAGCTGCAGAGTTGACCAAGAACGGAAACAGAATTAAAATGATTGATCAAATTGGGATGAACATGACAATAAGGGATGCATTGAAGAGCGCTGCTGTTTTTATACAACGGTTTGAACCTTTTTTGTTATTCGACTTAGTTTTTTGACTACTTTTCTTTTCTGAATATTTGTTATTTTGTTTCAATTATTTGATGCAGATAATTTGATTTCATTTTGTAGTTGTATATCGTATCCGTACTTCTCATAGACTGGGAGACATTCTTTTAAAAAATCTGAATCATTCATGAAAAACACAAGTTCAGTGCGCTATTGATACGATGAACAATTAAGTACCTGTAATAGATCGCCAAGTTGATAACCGAGCCGGGGTATGGGAGTACATCACCCACTGGTCCTGATGGAAACCCCTGCAGACCACCGATGTGGTCCTGGTAGAAGAACAGTAGGAAGCCAGAATCAAATGCTTTGCTGGATCCCAGAGTTAGATTTGTCTGGACAACGGATAATAATGAATTTACATGAAAACACCTCTGGCCACACCCATTTTCTTTCAAAATGGTCTGGTTTTTAGCCCCAGTTCCTCGGATAGTAGCTCAACAACAAAACGTTTCCCGCTTCTGATATGGTTGCGTGTTTCAATAATTATTTCCCTACAGGTTTGAGGCAAGAATGTGTAGGAGGACAATCGTGAATATATTCCGTTTGATGTGAGAAGAATGAAATTGATCAGCACAGTCATAAAATATATGTAATATTATAAACTTGATAAAAAATAACTTTTTTCCATAAAAAATGATTTAGTTATCCATTTTGTGGCACTAAATAAAAGTAACGTTGTCTTAGTATAAAGCTCACTAGGAAATTTTACAAGTGAAACAAATACCTATACATGTTGTCTTTGTTATCTTTGTGCTCCTTTTTTCTTTTTCTTTTTTCTCCCCATTGTAAGCATGCTAGCCCATGGATGGCCTTGTTTGATATAATCGACTTTAAACGAATTGACCCTAATGCGTCCAAATTTATGTAAATGTATATACATCTGGATGTTTTTCTGTTTGATATAATCGACTTTAAACTGCACTCAAATTCATATGAAAGTCTAAATTAATGCAGGTTTGAAGATGAAGTTCACCTGCAAGCAAGCGGCAGTTCGTCCGGCGGAAGGGTCTCCGGCGCCATAAGACAAGTCAGGGTATCCCTCCAGTTCGCCGAGGGCGCCTGATAAAGATCAAAATTACTATTGAAAGACACTTTCTTACTCGCATCCCTCGTATAATACATCCTCTTCACTTCATCATCGTCCTCGTTAAACCTCCTTCCTCCTTCAATTATCCCCTCCATGACTTCTTGGGGGCACTCCATGGTTGACCACTTGGAAGAACCCGAACGTCTCCGATGCTCGCCTCACCTCGTCGATGACTTGGATTCTTTGATCAGATTGTAAGTCGATTATGGGGATCGAGATCTGGTGGTTCGGATTGAATGGTTGGGTTGTCCGTGACAGTAGTCGTGGGGAAGATAGCGAGATGGTTGTGACGCCTTGCATCGGGAGAGGCCTTTGATCGCCTGCTTTCGTCTGCGTCGAAGGCTTTGAGCTCAGCGATAAGCGGGATCGTGTGAGGAGGACATACTTGTTGGTTTCAGTGGGACGGTTGGATTGGCGTGGGAGCTGGTGGGTGGAGATTGGAAGAACGGGGAGGTTGTGGGTGTCGCGTTACAGAGTGAGGGATGGGAGAGGTAGAAGGGTTGATGAAGGGGTTTGTGGTGAATTGACTTTGTCGGCGACGTAGAATTAGAAGGAGTATAGAATGATAAGTTGAGAGTTTGATTGATGACAAAGCAGGCGAGGAAAACCTGCGCGGATATTCCTGGCGTGTATATTTGCTTAGGTTGCTGTGGCCGGGTGAACTCGAGGGGGACTGACTGGTCCCCGCCCAGCACTGGTCAGTGTCCATGCCGCTCTTTGGCTCGGAGCAGAGGCGGAGTCCGGATCCAGACCGTTGATGATGATACGCGGGTCACGGAACGGGGGCGTCGGTCTAGCGGCAGGATGTCAGGGGGTCAAAAGAAGGTAGTCCAGGTTTACGCCTGCGCCCGGAGCCCATACATTGCGCGGACCTGGTCCACGACCCCGACGAGATGATATGGTGTTTTGGCGTAGTTTAGGTTGGTTTGGTGCGCGTATAGGTTTATGAACTCGTTAGGACCTCGGTGGTTTGCAGTAAAGAATTCTAGTTGGTGTTGTGTGGTTTACAAGAGAACTTAGGCTGCTTTTGCAAATGGTTAATGAAGGGGATTAAGGAGAAAGGGAGTTTAACATAGTTAGCTCATTCGTATAATCCGAAGGACTAAATTGTAACCGTTAATTATATAAGTTTTTATTTTAGTCCTTGGTGATCATTTTTAGTTCGCGGAATAACAATGATTGTTGACTATGTTCTTGTTGTATTTTGAAGGGTTAGGACTTAATCCTTCTAAATAGGAGTATTAAGATAAACCCCTCTTTTGTGAGGGGTGTAACTCATTTTAATGCCTCTGAAATGGGCGGGTTAGCTTAGCCTTTATATGTTTTTATGTGTTGGCGTAAATTAGGGAGGGTTAGCTTAACCGCTTCTATTATGAGTTTTTATGTTGGCAGAATTTATGGGAGGGTTAACTCACTTTAACGCTTGGTATAGAGGATTTTTTGTTTTTTTTTTTTTTTTTTTTTTTTTTTTTTTTTTTTAGTTTTTTTTTTTTTTTTTTTTTTTTTTTGTTTTTTTTTTTTTTTTTTTTATTTTTTTTCGATTTGTTTATGTTTGCGGGTTGAAGAAGGGGGTTTAAGTCTCCTGTAACCCTCACTGTAAACCGCTGTTACCAAACGGGTTTACCTTGCAAGTATACTCATTAGACAGTTTATGGGCTACTTCAGCTGCGACTAATCCTATGGTTTTATTTTTTTTGCTTGTTGATGAGTTTGGTTTTGTCGTGGGTCTTGTGCGATAATTGCCTTTATTTTTTCAAAACACTTCAAGTATCCCCCCCACCCCACGCCACCCCACCCCAATTTAGGCATACATCATCGGCGGAATTTATGCAGATCCGTTTGTTATTTTTTTTGCGAGCATCTCTTCCACAGTTCCACTTGTAGACAACAGCTAACCACGCGAGGACAAAGGAATTGGATATTAGTTTAAGTTAATCGTACAAGAAAAAAAGGAAAAATTCTCGGACAACCCATGTTCACTTTAGACGGTAGGTCTTCTTCCAAGGTTGCAATATACCCGACGAACATAGATCGATAGAAAGATCCTTGCCATTTTGATTTGGACTTTTATTAATATCAATTTAAATAAGACAATTACATAAAGCAAAGTGGGAGGTCGAGACAAATGAGGACAAACAATAGAGAGAGAAAGAAGGGGTGGAAGAGGAGAGGCGACAACATTTGAAGAGAGACTAAACAAGGAGACCATAATACATTTATCATAAGTGTTGTTTTGTCTAGTGGATGATTATGATTCATCCAAATTTAACACTCACTATAACTCCGATGATTGACACTCATTTTCTAATTTATACTCAAAGGCAACTCACAACCACCTATTAAACAAATTAGTCGTGGTCTCCCCAAGTGGCAGAGCCAGGACACACAGTTTAGTGTGGGCAATAAATTATAAATAAATAGATTTTAAAATCTATTAAGATAAATTTATTAATACATTTCAATATCAAAAGAAATGACATTTCCCAATATTTAGATGTTATGTGATTTTTTTCTAATTGAATCTTATACAAAATATTTAAAACATATGAAGTCTAAGATATTTTACCTTATTTTCATTAAGATGGTCATGGCCCTCTTTTGGCTGCATCATATTTTTCCTTTTTTTTATCTTTCTTTCTTAAAACCAATGATGCATGATGATGGGAAAATGAGAGGGATCTCATTAGAGATAATTAGCATAAGAGGTGAGTCTCTATTTAACTACATGTTGATGTTAAAAATTATAATTTATTTAAATTTACAAATAAGCTATAATAAAATTAAATTGTAAATCAATTAGAATAATAATGTGCCAAGACATCAAGAGGAGATAATTATTGAGCTAGATCTTAATGATAAATGTAATATATATGAGGGATATATTGCGAAAAGAAATTTGAGTGGGGGCATTTGCCTACAGTGCGGTATATGTGGCTCCGCCATTTGTCTCTTCACTATCTTCTTAAAGCGAACAACATCTGCATCCTTATGGCAAGTAGAAATTCAAGATTAATATCTTCAGGTTGCCAAAAAGCTAAACTACCAAATCGGAAAATCTGTCCTATTAAAAATACCAATATGGTAATTTAGCCACTTATCACTAAACCCCTTTGTAGGTGTCAAAAATTACCTATAAGTTACCGCACACAGCTCGAGACGAAGAGAAGGCGATGAATGTCATTATCTGAGTCAAAGAGAATCATTCGATACAGAAGAAAAGCCAACAAGCACACGAAGTGAGTCGGCAAAGCGTACGAGTCAACGAAACACGCGAAACACTAAAACAACGACGAAACACCATGAGTTGTTTCGCCCAAGGGGCGAAACACACAGGTTGTTTCGCCCATTCAACCTCCCGACAATGCGTATTTCGATAGAATTCTGGGATTCGTTTGTTCCAGAGCCTCCCCAACTGACTTGAGACTATCCTTGAACATGGAAAAGTGGTTATCAACTGAAAATAAGATCAAATCGTGATTTCTTATCCGAAAATGAGGCACCCAAAGCCTATAAATACAACCCTAGGGTCCCTATGCACGGGAGCTAGAATTTTGGAGCCTTGAGGCGAAGTGCTGACCCTGAGAGAGCTAAGCCACGAATTTCAGAGAAGAAGAAGAGAGATTTTGGTGAACTTCATCATAAAGGAGAGGATTTCGAGAAATCAATAACCCCTACACCAGTTCCATAAGATTAAACTTCATTTTGATCTTGAGAAGAGAGTTTATCTCAATCCTTGAGATATTTACTTAAAATTTTGTTTCTTTCAAGAAACAAGATCAACCGGATTTGATCCTTAGTAGTCCATGGATAAAAGCATCTCTGGCAAAGGCAAAGATGCCACACAAGCAGCGACTGATAAATGATCTTGCGTGTGTTTCTAGCCTGTTTGTTTTCATTGTGTAAGAAAGTCTTATAAAAATACTAACTTTCTTTTTTTGAATCTGTAAGATGATAAACGTGTAATGAATTCAGCAATGAAAAATATTTCCGACGAAAACACACTAGCGACCATAGTGAGAGCCGACGGTCTCGCTACCGAGACCAGAGTGTCACAACCAAGAATCAAGATCCTGGTTGAAGCATGGGTCAAGCATGAGTTCGATCAACAGAAATTCGAGGAGTACGTCTCATCCTCCTCCTCCAGATCCTCCTCCCCTCGTAAGTGTAGGAAGATTTCTTCGCAGAAGAAGGTTCGTTGGTCCCCAGATGTGAAGACCCAGGGTGATGATTCTTACCCGCTCATTGTTGATTCCTCTCGTAACGCTCCTCCGGCATCCAAGGAAGCCAGATTGACTGCTCACGATAACTCCTCTTTAGTTAAGGAGTTGCCCACTGAAGGCGCACTAATTCTGACAAAGAGAGCTCATCAGAGGCAGCGCCAACGCCTCGCTCGTCAATTCGCCAAAGCTCTGGAGCAGGTTGACGGACTCCGCTATCAAGCGGATTTGGAATTTAGGAGGCGCCAAGTGATTAAGCCGCAGCCACAATTAGCAGCTGATCCCTCCTCCAAACCATCAAACAACAAGTGGGTTCGTGTCAAATGAACCTATTCAACTCTCGAGGAGCACATCTAGAAGCGTCGCGCACTTCTCGCGCATGCACTGATTATCGTGCAGAAGGCACAAGAGCTGCAGAAGGAAGAGGCGACCAAATAACCACTGAAATCCAAACAAGTCTGGGTGCCGAAGGCCAGAACAGCACCAAAAGCAACTCAGAAAAGTGTCGAAACAACTCCTCCTGGCGCAAAACACAACATGTGTTTCGTACCTGGTGTGAAACACACATTGTATTTCACACCAAGGGTGAAACACAATATGTTTTTCACATCAGGAGCGAAACACAGCTTGTGTTTCGCACCTAGGGTGAAACACCAGCTGTGTTTTGCACCTGGTGCTAGCTCTGAGGATGGTGCTTAGCCTCCGTCAGCCTCCGATCCCGCTCCTTTTTCTCTCGCACCTCCGGTGAAGCCTCACAGTAGTGATAATTCACCCAAGATCAAGAAGATAATGACAGATTGCCTTGGTCCTCTACACGAAGATCGGGGCAAATTCTAGTGAAAGAATGCTTGAGTCCGATGAATGAATCCCAAGTGACTATTCAGGCTGGGGGTCGTACGTGTCCTCCTAATAAGTTGAAGCCATCTCATATCGGGAAAACACTCGTAACCGCCTGCTTAGGGTTGCGTGTCCAGGTTTAGGAGCCC